GGGAGGAGGCGGAGGGCGGGGTGGCAGCGGGTGGCTGGCTGGGTGCTGGCAGGCTTGCACCTGGCACTGGCACCGTAGCCAGACTGTTCCCCTTTAAGGGGGCCGGGGCTGGGAGGGGGGCAGACGAGTTTCCCTGGTGGTGCCCAGAGTGGCCACTAGGGCAAGCTGGGGAGGGCTAGCCTCCAACTAGTTTGAATTAAGTGGCTACACAGCTCCTTAATTCGAAATACTGAATTCGAACTAGGCATTAGTCCTTGTAGAATGAGGTTTACCTAATTCGAATGAAGTGCTCCGCTAGTTCGAATTAAGTTCGGTTTGTATGTGTAGCGCCTATCAAAGTTAATTCGAACAGTTGTTAGTTCGAATTAACTTTGTAGTGTAGACATACCCTTACTTGGCCAGAGCTAAGAGAAGGTACAACTTTTCATGTAAGATGCAAAAATGAGATTCTGAACTCCTTGTATTTACAGATTGCCTGGTATCTTTCTTATGGACAGGAAGGCCCAGGGGTTTGGGTGGTATCCTCGCTGGGTGCAAAACACCACTATGCAAAGAAAAATTACTCCCACAACAGCATTGGGAGGTTCCATAGATATTGTCTGTCAGTGACTTCCAGCACATGTTCTGGTCTAAGTTCACAAGTTACAAAAACACACCTTTTCTAATTTGTCCACACTGCAAACGAAACCTGTGAGCGGAAGCTTCCGGCTTGGAATACATTTTTGTAAAGTCTAAGAACCTTTATTCAGGATTTCCTGTTTCCTGTGAATGGATTTTAGCAACTATCGCTCTAGAGTAGGGATGTTAGAAATTGTTTATTTTAGTAATAGTGCAACCGCAACAGTTCTTATACAGAGGGCATCGAATAACTGTGTCAGAGGCAGCAGCGCGAGGTAGCAGGCGGGAGCCAGTCTGTGAGGGGACCCCATTTAAAAATTGGCTCTCCACACAGACCAGCTTCCACCTGCCACCCCGTGCCGCTGCCTCTGTATCAGAGGCAGCAACGCAGGGCAGCACGTGGCTTTCCTATGTGCATCTTCGTTTAAAACTTGGACCTGAGGGCTGGGACTGAGCCCGCCTGCCAGTCCAAGTTTTAAATGCAGAGCACGGTGGGTGGGAGGGATTGTTGTGGTTAACTGGGACTGTTAACTGCTAAGCAATCGCTTTTTGGTAAAACGGTTACCCGGCTATCCGCAAACATCCCAACTCTAACATACACCCTCCCCCCCTCCATTGACTATTTTTACACAGTTTGTAAAGTTTGGGATCTGTTATGGCATGAATCACCTGTTGCTGGTGCTATAAATGGGTTTGCAAGTCCAGTAGACTGCTGATAATCCGGCACTCTTGGGACTCGGGGTGCCGGTTTATCGGATATGCTGGAGTATGGGGAGGTACTCCGGTGGGGTGCTGTGACAGGTCTTCCAGGACCTGCACTGCGTGGGTGAGGGGTCAGCGGGAATGGCGCGAGGAGGGGTGAACTCTTCGCCGTGTTGCAGGGAGGCGGTGGAAGCCCTGCGCAGCCGGCTTGCAAGCAGCGGCG